TGGTTCTCATTCTCGTTTCTGCCACTGCTCCTGCTCTATGTGATCTAAATAGTGCCTCCATGTGTTGACACAATGAACGATTGTTGTTATTTCCTTCTCATGCACTAAGTACCACCTCTCCGTATTAAGAAGGAGGCTTCTTGATTTCATATGCCACTAGATGACTGTTCTGCACCAACAACCCAACCAATTGTAAAGTCTGATGCATCTGTATGAACTTCAAAGTCCGGAAATAGTAAAACTGAGCTAGTTGTCACCGCCGCCTTCAAACGATCAAATGCCTCCTTGGATTCGTAGCACCAATTTTGAATCCTATTTTTCCTCAAAAGGTCAGTTAGCGTAACTTTTTTGGAGTTATTTTTCACTAACTTTCTATAATAATTCACCAAACCAAGGAACGTAATTCAGTGACTTTCATAGGGATAGGCCAATTCACAATGACCTCAATCTTCTTAGGGTCCATCTTTAATACACCCATAGAAATAATATGCTCAAGGAATGTGCTCTGGCAAAGTCACATTGTTCTGGTTTCAAATACAACTATGTTTCCCTCACCTTCGTTGGGTGTCACATCCTTGAATTCTGTCAGCAATAATTGTATTGGTTTAGGGACTTGCCAAGCTTTGAGTTCCTCATCCTCAATTAGCACCGCCAAGTATGTCGTCTCTCCTCTTCGCGGGCCATCTATGACTTGCAAGGTAGACAACATTTTTCCCAAACTCTTGGTTTTGATGAGGGTACAAATCAGGGAATGGGGATATCCACCATGAGCAATTCATGTAAGGGTGGCATCACAGAAACTTTAGCCTCTATAAATAATTTTAGCTCAAGGATTACTTGAAAATCATCAAGTGGGACTGTCATAAAATCACATTGTCCCTGCCAATCACAAACTTTTAATGAGATATCTCTTGCATCACCGCCTACTGATTTTGCTTCTAAATTAAAAACCTTGATTTACCTAGAATCCTTTGTCAAGGCCAAACCAAGACGCTTCATCTCTCTCGATCAGAAACAACATTATAGGTTGCACTCAAGGATCAAAATTTTATTTCGATGCATTGTTTCGGCCACTTAAGAAATGAAAATGTTTCGACATGTTTCGGCTCGTTTCGAAAATATAATAAAAAAAATAAAAAATTCAAGAATTATTTTTTTAAAACATTGGTCGAAACATACCAAAATATCTTGAAATANGTATTGTTTCGGCCACTTAAGAAATGAAAATGTTTCGACATGTTTCGGCTTGTTTCGAAAATATAATAAAAAAAATAAAAAGTTCAAGAATTATTTTTTTAAAACATTGGTCGAAACATACCAAAATATCTTGAAATACATTGAAACATTCCAAAATAATTGTGCAAATGCATTGAAATATAACAAAATATTTTAAAATATTATGGAACACTTCGAAGTATTTGAATTTCGATTCCATCACTGATTTGTTTCGGTCTCGTTGGAAACAGAAACGTTTCGGGTGTTTCAATCGTTTCGAAACGATATTTTGATCCTTGGTTGCACTTGTATCAAATATTGACCGGACATAAATGTTTTTCATCCAAATCCACGCGTACATTAATCCCCTTTTGGCCATACGCTCCTCTTTACAAATTGCATTAAGGAGTTGTAAGGGATTGACTCATGTAGGCTCGTCTACACGATCAACAACTCCCATGGTCACTAGGGCACCGAGTTTCTCCTTCTTTGGGTTATTTCTACCACGATGGGAGCTACCTCAGATGAAACAAGCCGAGGAAGCACCTTTTTTTGACAAAGAGGGCTTTTCGGATTGTTTATCTGTACTGCTGGATTTGTTAGCCTACTTGTTTTTATGATCCTTCTTCTAGAACTTAGCCTTCTCTTTTGAACTCCTTGTTTGAAAGGTTGGCTTGCATTTTGTAGTCCACCAAAGCATATATTGTAGCCATAGTAGCAAGTAAATCCTTTATCCCTTGCCAACGTAGTTCAGTTTACGCCAAAGTTTAAATCCCAGATATGAAGTTGAACAACTTGGCTTCCGCCTACATGGTTTTGAAGTAAACCATAAGGGACATGAACTGTTTCAGATATTCACGAAACGTGCTTGTATGTCTGAGTTTTCATAAAACATCATGACCTTGCCAAGCCGTGTTGCTTGGAAGGAACTGCTCCTCCATNGTCTTCCGCCTACATGGTTTTGAAGTAAACCATAAGGGACATGAACTGCTTCAGATATTCACGAAACGTGCTTGTATGTCTGAGTTTACATAAAACATCATGACCTTGCCAAGCCGTGTTGCTTGGAAGGAACTGCTCCTCCATTGCAACAGACAATCCATCCCCAAGTAGTGATTTGAAGACAAGACTTGTCCTCTGAACGTGTGCGCCACCATAACTTTGCATCACTGGTCAAGAACATGCTTGTGAGATCTACCCTCTCAGTATCTGGTTTGCGAATTGGTCTGAAGTAGTATCCCATATCCTACAAGAAATTCTCGAGTTCTTTAGCATTACGATTGCTAGAGAACATATAAGGGTTAGGGACCTTTTATTTATGTGTGCATTCATTGCCAGAACTTGAAGCAGAATTCTGCAGTGCCACCTTCATCAACGACACATTTGTTTCGAGGCCATGGATTTTCTCCCCCACACCCGCGGTCAATGAAGAAGCCGCGACAAGAACGTCAATGATCTTGGAGTTTGTCTCGTTGAAATAATCAACTTCTGTCTTTTGGAGTTGTTCTTAGGACACTTGCATTTCTTCGAACCTTTGGTATAGCAACTCGAGTTGCGCAGAGGACCACAACATCACCAGATTATGGGAGAACAACAATGTGCTCCAAACGCATCACCTTTTCCCTCAATAAATAGATCTTTCATTCAAGACCACACTTTGATACCAACTATCACGTGGTAACTCGTTTTGCAACTTTTTTCACGAAGTAGGTTACCTATAAGGGAGCAGCCTCAGCATCCAACCACTCGAACTCGTAAAGGGGAACACATGCACAAGCAACACACGATGTACCGGGGAAACTTTCCCCAATCTCATATGAGTGCTCAAATAATAGAAGGAAGTCGCAAATCCAACCAAGGATTCTTGCTCTATAGATTGTCCCAACATTCCCTATTTATACAAGGAGTATGGCAGTTGACATCCCCAACTGCCTAGGGTTTACTAGTCCACTAACTAGTTAGTTATATGGGCATGGCAGTTTCCATTTACAATTGTCATGTCAGGTTACGTCTCTGCTTCATAGGTAGCTGGCGGTTCCTCTAATTCAACACCGGACTTGGTAAATGCCTACAACTGTTCGCCCATGATAAGGTTATGCCCAATAACCGACCTCAACTACTTCCCATGATCAAGCCATGTATAACAACCGCTCTCAACTACCTGGTTCCATGCATTGAGCAGATCCATCCTAGTCATGTACCTATATATACGCAGCCAAGCCTAGCCCATGAACCAATCAAGCATGTTAAGTCAAGCCCAAGCCATGCCCTACGAAGCCATGCACTAACACTACCTCAATTGTGCCCACTACGGGTTGTCATCCTCAACCGTGTTGTCTTTTGAAGCTACAAGTCCCCACGACTTTTCCGATCCCACCATTATCTCGCATTCATTTGTACGCCTTGTCTCACCCGTGGCGAAGACCTTGCCGCATGCCTTGGCCAGCAATGTCAAGGCTAGCGGGCACAAGGCTTGTCGGGTCCTTGGTGCCCCTCAACTATCACCACCCCTATATATACTCTTAGAAGGATTTTTAAAGTGACATGAGTGGACATCAGTTCTTGGGCATAGTGCCTGGAACGTTTGTCGAACACCTTAGCTATTTCACCTCGCTTTAAAGTCATGGAGTTCCTTGGTACAAGGTGCCACCAAGATGTGTCCATTTCTACCTAAATCAATTAGGGTTTGACAATTGCCTAGATTGTATATGCGCTTTGACACGGCTGTCTATTTGAAATAATACCATAGCTATTTGTCCTAACCCAAAGTGTTTTCCCCATCAAAAGTCTTCGAAGCCTCTAGTACATCCTCCTTTGAGAAAGGTATCTCCGCCAGTTGCTTATCCTCCGCCCGAATGCCATCATTGTGTGAGCCATTTGACATAGGTGTGTATTATATAGTTGCCAGTGAAATTAGACTATTTAACTTTTAACCTCCCCTTAATGAAATAAGGCCAAATCCTATGTCGCAATTCTACCAATGTGATTCACCCTCGTGTGAGAAATTTTATTTTACCAACTCTCGTTAAGCACAAGACGAGTTTTGTGGCCAAAAAAATTGTCGGTCAAAATTAGATGCAACCCCTGCCCCATTCCTCACATCTGCCCTCTGCAAATTTTGATTGAATTCTATAGGCATTTGTTATATAACAAATCCGTGGCTAAAAGTTGGTCTACTTAACTTGCTTGTTTGAGCATTGAATTTATTTGCTTTTTCAGTATAGAAATCGGTTGTTACATAATTAACATACACATTCATGACATCGTTGTGGTTCAACTCCCTTTTCTTTTTTTTTTTTTTCCATCTGCTTTCAGTTTCTCTTCTTTTACAACTTTCTACTTTGGTCTTGTGAAGACAGTTTGTATCTCACATGGAAATATGTCGACCACCCATGATTTGTTTATGTGGTTGATGTGCCACTTCAATCATTATTAATTAGTTTTAGTTTGGAATACCTCTAACATGGTATTAGAGTTGGGCAGTAGGCACAGTTTCTCACCCATGTGTATTTCTTGGGTTGTTTGTTTGTTTCGGTTTGGTTTATTAGCCCACGTGTGAGTCTGAGTGCCATGTTAGAGAGGATGTGAAGTGAGTTTGTATAACACATGAAAAGATGAAGACAGTCCAAGATTGGTTTATATAGTTGAGATGCCTTTCACCTATTACCAATTGGTTTTGGGTTGGATTTTCCAAATAGGTCTAATATCTGTTAGAGAATAGGCGTGGAGAGGTCCCCTGTAGAGTTTCTGCCTAAAGAAACTTGGGACATTCGTGATGGTAAACAATGATTCAGGTTTTCATTTGTTCAAGTAATTTTCTGGTGAACAACTTTGTGCCCGTCTGGAATGCATTTTGACGCCATATACTTGGTTCTTGTAAAGGGGTAGTTATACTTTCAAAATTTTAATGTTGTTACTCATTATACAGGTTTTGGATGAATCTCTTCGTGCAATTTCTGGATTTAAAGGAACGGAGGATCTCTTTGATGATAAATTGCTCCATAACCCATTTACCTCTGACTACATCAAAATAAAGACAGTCTCATCGGCTCCATCATATGGATCAGAGTCTCCAGCAGTAAATAAGGATGAATCTAAAACATGGCGGTCAGGGGGTGAGCAGTGGTTTGAAGCAATGGAGAAGCATATGCCTCTGATTCTGCAGCATTCTTCATCCATGGTTAGTTAAATTGATCCGACATGTTATGTTGGATATATTCAGAAGAATAAATTCAACTAAAGTCAATTGTGATCCAATTTTGTGTCGCTAAATACCTTTTATGCATTTGGTCACTATCCTGTTGTTTGTAATATTAATTTGAGACATACAAAAGCACTTAAGATGGTTATGAGCCATTGATATATTGGTCACCCTACTTGGGGTATCTTGAGCAAAACAAAATATCCAGTCAAAGTGACCTTATAAACTCATTACATATGCTGTGCCTTTGTGATTAGTTACGTATTCAATGCCAGGTTCTATCCATTTATCAAACAGCTGGGAAACTGTATACATCTTAGTGGAGTGTGGAACAGTGAATTAATGACACTCAAGACCCTTTGTTTCTATAGCTACTACTTTCAGTTTCAGAAGTGATAAGGTGGTATCAGCTATATATATATATATCTTTGCACTTGACCGTCAGAGTTGAAACTACGGCAACTTTTCTGTATGGACAGCGATACCTGCATATCCATTGCTACCTAGTTTGGTTTTTGGAGAGGATTCTTAATGTTGCATGTGCATATTTTTATGAATGCTTTAAAAGACTGTTTCTCCCTTTTTTGGTGTATTTTGTATTTTGACAACATTGAGTTGTTCTGATGCAACACTACCTAGATTGTGGATCTATTTGCTATGTGGTACGAGTGTAGGTTGGTTTGGGGTTTGCTTTGGAACTTTTATCCAAATAGCTTTCAATATTATAAGAATTTATTTAGTTATACATCTATACATACATAGTCAATTAGCATTTATTTATATTTGCGACGACTTTCATTATTGTGAAAATGTATATGCAATAATTGAATATATGCACTAATGTTTGAAGTTTCTGATAAGAGTTCTAGAGTAAACTGTGATTCAAAATGGTATACCGGTTAATGGTTGTGAGTAATAAAAATTAATGGTTGCATATATCTGTTGTAAGAAAAATCAAAATCACAACAAATCAAAATATAAATTTAAACATCACCAAAATTAAGAAATAAAGTATCATAGAGCGAGTTACTATTTGTGGTTAGCTATGAAACACGAACACTCTCGAGAAGGTGACGTATCCATGTCAGACATGTGTCGGACACCGACACTCTTCAGACACTATCGGACATGTGTCTGATACTTTTTTATCTGTATCCCTAGTTCAATGATAAAATTTTAATTTCGGATACGTGTCCGACATTTCTTTGGTGACGTGTCTGACATTTCATTAGAATTTATCTACTACTAAACAATAAACATGTGTTGAAATGTGATTAACAAAGTTTACAAATTTGAGAATATATAATTACCAGCACTAGACATATTAAAGTTGTACTCCAAACATAATAATAAAAACAATAGATGCATAATAGTTTTAAGAAAGAGTAATTGAGAAAATGATAGTAATTATTTAAATTATATATTAAGTACACATTATCTACAAAAAAAAATTGATGATTATTGACTATTAAGAGGATGCTTTAGTCTTAAAATTCACATAGATGATTAGACAGAAGATTTACTTATCATAAAATACTGAATCTTTTATTAATTGTATATCATTATCACTATATTTGTAATAAATTATATAATGTTGTGTCAGCATGTCAGTGTGTCTTTGTCGTATTCGTGTCCTGTGTCCGTATCCATGCTTCTTAGGTGGTTAGGGTATTAGACGATTTAGGTCACAAACCCACAACATTTGGGCGGTGCGACCCAGATCATTAGATGCCTGAGGTACATAGGATTTTCGTATTCCCGTTCTAAGCAGCCCGTCTTCCTTTTAACAGAGCCTGTTTGTTTAGCATAGACGCATCTTGTGGGTCATTAGGGTATATGAATCCTTGTGGTTGCGGTGTCTTAGAGATTTTGCAAATTTGGTAATTTTTAAATTGCATTTCTGCCTTCGACCTTTTCATGCCCTTATGTGGCATTTTTCATAGATAAGGTGAAAGTTATGATATTTGCCCGACACAGGTAATTTAGAGTTATCAATTGTGAAAATGCAAATCATAAACTATGCCACAGATTGGCACTTTCTTTTTGAATTGAACTCAACTCAACTCAGTATTGTCCCAAATATTTAGGTTCAGTTACATGAACCAGGTTTTTCCATTGTACTTTATCAAGGATCATATTTTTTGTTAAACTGCAAGTTATTATATCCTTTTTCAATCTGCCTCTATCCCACGCATTACCATCGATAGGTATCGTCTCACTATTCCTCNAATTGTGAAAATGCAAATCATAAACTATGCCACAGATTGGCACTTTCTTTTTGAATTGAACTCAACTCAACTCAGTATTGTCCCAAATATTTAGGTTCAGTTACATGAACCAGGTTTTTCCATTGTACTTTATCAAGGATCATATTTTTTGTTAAACTGCAAGTTATTATATCCTTTTTCAATCTGCCTCTATCCCTCGCATTACCATCGATAGGTATTGTCTCACTATTCCTCTTTGTTGCAGTCTTATATAAATATGTCCACGCCATCATGGTCAATTTTCTCATACTTTATGTTATTTCTGCCATTTCCCGATTATACTCGGTCCTAATACTGCCCATTCTGGTTTTACGGCACATCAATAGTAAGATTCTCATTTTTTGCTACACTTGGTGTAATGGTTGCCTCGAAGAACTTACCTTTCAACTTAAGAGGTTTTTATTGATCTCATAATATGCTAGATGCATTCTTTCACTTAGTCCAACATTCTATACTTATATGGTAAGTTTTGTCTCCAATCTCCATCTCCCTATGAATATTTGACTCCAAATATCATAAGTGTTTACTTTTTGGTGTGTCTTGATATTCAGACTTTATTACCTCCCTATTTGAAGCGTGTTGTTTCTAAATCATATTACGTATATTCAGGTTTATATCTACTTATTTTGGATCCTTTTTATTATCAAGTTTCTTTTCAAACTTTTAATTTTTATTGGTAATTCCTACTTTCATCAATCAATAATATAAAATGTTTTGAATAATAATTGGAAAAACGGAACTTCTCTTTTTCCATATACCATGACGTGCTAACAGTTCCCCGACACCAGAACACCCCCACAACCCATTCAACCCAAAACAACTCCTTATCTACCTGAATCAATCCTCAAACCTCAAAAAGCAACCTCCTTTGACACTACCGTCTAACCCCTCCTTCAAACTCCACAACCACAAATTATAGAGAGAGAGAGGTGTTTGCATGTAGGATACTCAGTGAGGGTTTAGTGCATGTTTAGTTGAGGTGGGGTGAGTAGCGACAGTTGGTGCATTTCTATTGCTCGAGAGTTCGAGGGTTGGGTGAGGAGGGGTGGGAAAACAAAGATAGAGTTGGGTTAGGTTGGGTTGGGTTATGTTTGAGCTTTATTTGAGTTTGATCAACGGGTAAAATGGTCATTTTAATATTTTCATCAGCTTTGTTAGTTAATTGGTGCTGACCATAATTACTAAAATCTTAGGGGACTCGGTGTAAAGTAAACCTTGAGGGTAGTTTGTGTAATTTGTCCGCTGTGAAATTCCAATTGGTATGGGTTGTTTTATGTTTGAGGTCTTATGGTCCAAACTACTAAGTTAATGAAAAGCAAATAGATTTAAGAATGAAAAGAAACTGAGTTAGTCGAACTTAGGGCTGTAAACCAGCCTAGCAGTTGGGGTTTACCTCATATTCTCCTCATTCAATCTCGTTTATATTTTTATACGAACTGAATCCAATTAATTATTCTAGCTCGTTTAATATTGGGGTCGTGCCCGAGTCACTCGTGAGCCTTTGGGCCTTTGAATACCTTAGTCAAAGAGTTCAACGAGAACCCTACTAATAATATCCCTTGGTTGAATACAACAACTAGAACACTATTACCACTCGGTCCTCCCTCATAATTTGATTTCTCAATACCTTTGAATACACTCTTCCTCTCTAGTCCAACAAGAACACTTAACTGCCCTCGGTCCAAGACTCCAACCTAAAATCTAAATATTTCTTTCGCTCTGAACATGTAAATCTCTCTCTTCCTTTCTCTCNATCATTTTATATTAACCTAATTATAAGTTTCTATAATTCTATAAGTGTTCACGCAATAGGAAAAAATAAATAAATAAAAAGTCGCAAATTCTCTCCATATTATACATAAGTTTATCGGGTCAAAGCTAGAATTTTCATATTTGACACCGATCTAATTTATTTATTATTTATATTAACAGATCGTATCTTTTTTTAGGCTCTAATTAAAAACTAATTTATCATAATCTATTAATTTCACGCCATATTGTATTAATATGTCATCTCAAAAATCATCCCTATCACTATTACTATTACTATTACATATAATAATAACACTTCAAGCGTTTGGCAACTGGAACACTGAATTTTTTTATTTTTTATTTTTATTTTGCGAGAAATAAAGAAGATGTCAGTTAAAAGAGACGTATTGAGTTTGAATCTTGACAACAGTTTCATATCATTTGACCTTCATATGAAACTTGGTCAGATCACGAGAGATTTATCTCTCATGAATACCCTAGTTTCGATGTGGATAGTCTACGTTTAATTGGTCCGAGGAAGGGATTAATTGAAGTGCATGTAAGTTAACCCAGACATTTCTGTCTCAAAAAAAAAAAAGAAGAGAGAAAGAGAGAATGATCTTTCATCTTCTATATATAATCTTTTTATTCTTATTAATATAAAAAATACCTCAACCCAACCCGACCCAACCCAACCCAACCCAAACCAAACCCAAAAAAAAGAGGAACTCTCTTTCTCACACAATGGGGAACCTAGATCTATGCCTCTTTCACCCTCTAATCTCATGCTCACACTTTGCTTTTCTCCGGTCTCACTAGCTCAAACTTCCTAATTTCTATCTTTCTCTCTTTGTTGTTTGTCTCCACCTATGAATCATAGATATTTTTTTAAAGTCGATGTACTCGTATCGAATATCGTATCGGATATGATACTTATCAGATATTCGAAGATATGTATCGGATACACAT